TGAAGAACACCGTTTAATATTAGTCCTTTTTCTTGTAGAAAAAGCTTTGCTATATCAGATTTCATTAGAAGTTCTATCATAGAACCATTTTTAATAATTCGGAAATCTTTTAACTCCTTATCTAGATTTTGCATCTAAGGTTGATAGAATATCGACCTCGTTTGCTTCAATGTTTAATAAACTTTTAATAGTACTTTTTAGATTTAAATATTCGTTTGTTATCTTATTATTTGTTTTAGCGGCTTGCACATAACTTTTAGGTGGTACACAAAGTTCCGAAATTGAGGTATTTTTTTCAATATTAGAGAGCATGATGAATAAACACTACATAACTTTTGGTCACTGAGATTTTAAAACACTCTTTACATTCAAAATCACTCAAGAAGCCTCCCAACCTTCAACAAACTAAAGTTGCCTTACAGGCAACTTTACTTTGTTGAAGGTTGGGAGTTTATCTTGCCCCATTGTAGGGGCAAGATAAACTCTGAAACACTCTACAAGGCACGTAGACCTTACCAAAAGTGATCTTTAGCTCGATTTTAAACCTAATGACTAAGAATCAAGAACAGGTACTACACTTGATCAAAATTATTATCAAAAAGAAACGATTTGATAATCTCAAAGACTTTCCCAGAAATACCATATGAAACAAGCTTATGTTGACCAGCATGCCAAACTTTGTTAAAAGCCTTGGATATTTTAAGAGCAATAGCCCTATTCTCTCCGCCTTCATCTAATGCACAATAAAATCTTTCAGTTACAGCAGTTAGCAAGTCAGCCATAGAGCGAAGGGATCGAAAACTGTATTGACTGTCTGACAGGAAGTTATTTGACTCAAGATGGGATGTGAGAAATTTGTTTATCAAAGACTCAAAGTCCTTGCTAATAACAGAAAGAAGACTGATGGGACAATAATTACAGGGGTCAGAATGTTCATCAGAATTTTTGAAAATTGAAGTAAGAGATGCCATTTTCCAGCAGGCAGGAAAACAAGGCTCAAAAAAGCACTTATTAAATAGTTTAGAGAGAATTAAATATTTTTTTGGAGAACAATTTTGAAAGACTGTGACAGGATTGTTGTTTGGATCACAAGCCATAGAAGAGTTTAATTGAGGTATGACTTTAGCAACGGAAGCTCGAGTGATTTGAATATATGACAATGGGTTAACCTGTTTAATTGGAATGGAAGGAAGGGAATGGCCATAAGATTCAAGAGTTGAGTTGGAAAAAAAGTTCTATGCAAATAGTTCTGCCTTATGCAAATAGCTTGGGAGAGGTAATAAGATTATTCCCATGAGTGAGAGATGGAAAAGCATGTTAACGAATGCATTTAAAGAATGTTAAAGATGGAATGTTAACAACGTTGTTGAAGATTTTTAAAAAGTCTCTAGAGCCTAACCTTTGAGATAAGATTTAGTGAACTGAGAATAATGGAGCTTAGCATCTGACAGCACCTTTTAACATCGATTTCTTGCAATAATAAATAGCTGTTTGTTCTCAAGAGAGTTGTTTTGTTTTAAAAAAATGGTTACAGTTAGATATAGCAGCTGACAAGAGGGTGAAAACCATGGAGTAGAATGAGGCTTGACTTGGAACCGACAAGAAGGAATAAATGCTTCCATTCCTGCCTGAATCCAGGAAGTTACATAGGAGGCACATTTTCCAGCTGAGATGGATTAGACATCAGCCCAAAGACCGTCATGAAGAAAATCACGAAAAGAGTCCCAGTCAGCTTTAGGGTAGTAGTAAGTAGTGCAATAATAGGATGAATCTGAAAAAGAAGTACAAGATGAAAGATTTAAAGAGATCACTGCAAGGTCAGAACCACTTAAGGGAGAAAAAAGGGAAACCAAAAACAAGCTCGGATCAGAAACAAGATGTAAATCAAGTGGTGAAGGTAAACGGTTAGGGTTGTCAGGAAAACAAGTCACAAAGTTAACTATCTGAATAAGAGATTGAGAAATACAGAAGTTATAGACTTTAGTGCCAGCAGGGTAAATGGCGTTAGAGCCTATCCATTCAGTGTGATGAGCATTAAAGTCACCAATAACAACAGTTTTGGCATAGGTGTTAAGAGAGAGAGCATGGTCACTAGTTTACATCTCAGCCTAATAGATAAAGAAGAGGTTTGAAGCTGGTCAACAGAGTTATTCTGCTTTCCCCTAAAGTCTTTGCCTAGGAGGTCTTCTACAAGGTAGTAGAAGGATGTAGTTAACATCTGCCCAAGATGAGTGTTTTTATCGAGACACAATCTCTAGCCTTTACTCAAACCTTTACTCCTTTACTCGGTAGTGGTGTAGTGGTAGAGCGCTCGCTTTATAAACGAGTGATTCCGAGTTCGATCCCTACCACGTCCCTGGTAGTACCGCACTCAACTCGTTTCTCCGCGCAGCGGCCTTGTTCGTCAAGGTTTGTGTTTCAGAGTTATAGAGTTGAGAGAGGGTTATAGCCACAAATAAGTAGCCTCCTTGTCTGTAGTGGCCTTGAGGAGGTGAATTAAAATAAAAAAAAACAAAAAAAAAAACAAGTGCCCCAAAGCAGGGCATTTTTAAGTCGAAGTTTGTTTCTCTTAGCCTTTGCCTAAAAAAGCACACTCTACAAGGCAGCAGGGTATGGGACAGGTAGTACTGGGTTACATAGTACCAGATGATCCTGAACCTGACCTGACCTGGTGTAATTAAGAAGCTACTTCCTGCAAACAGCAACTAAAAACACCATGCATAATATTTTGGAAATGTGTTAGCAAATATGTTACACCCAACACAATACTAGAGATAGGGGTAAGCATAGGTTTGATAGTTGGAGTGTGTAGTTAGTTAATGAGCTCACTCTGTCTCAAAACAGATTTAAACGTTTAAACAGAACATTTAAACATTTAAACAGAGCACATAAAGTAACTTGACCAAGCCTGTAAGAACCATTTTAAATTTCGCTTAATTTATAAAATTAAGCGACATTTTTTATATAAAGTAACAACCTACAATTAATGGTTGTTCAAGGGAAACAAGCGTTCTTTGATTTATCAAAGAGTATAAAGTGAGTAATCACTGCGCCAGAGGTTCGGACAGAACATAAACTTACAGATTGCCAATATAGTTCTTGATGGCATCTTTTAATAAAAACCAAGAAATTTTCTAAAGATCTGGCATAGTTCCAGTAAACTGTTCATCTTTAATGAACCAAATTTTGAGACCATCAAAAATACTAGTCCAGATTTTTGAAATTTCACTGAAAACAATTGATTTGTAGATCGGAAAAAAAATTGAAGATTTGTATGTAACTATAAAACTAATAAACTAATAAACTCAAATTAAGCATCTACGTTAAACTGTATGTTAATTTGAGGAAAAAAACTTGATTCACTAGAAAAAAACTTAAACTTAGAATCAGCCATTTTTAAGTGAAAATTTGTATAAAAAGTCAACAGAAATTCTCTTTCAAATTGTCTCTTAGTTTTGTATATAGATTATGTTATTTATTTGTAATTTGTTATTTAGATAGATTATGTTATTTATAGAATAACACAATTAGTTGGTGGAACCAACCTGAAATCTCTGAGTTCTTAAAACAGCTGTGTTTGTATTAATCTTTTTTGTTTTACTTTTTAAGAGAAAGGTCTATTTAGTACCCAGTACTCATGTTGTCAATCCAGTGAAAGTGGAAAACCATGTTCTTTTTCAAGAGTAAGCAATATTTAACAGTTGTTTTTGAAATTTTTTTTTTTTTTTATTGTTAAAATAAATGCTTATTTTGATTTCAAAGCTTCATGTTTGCGATAAAATGACTCCTCTCAATGAGTTTGTTTCAACCCGAAATTGCATAAATGTGGACGCAAAACAAAAGGTTTTAGCATTGGATTGTGAAATGGTAATTTTTTTTTCTGCAATTTACATACTTTTTATACACATGTGGTATGTGCAGTAAAACATAATTTTTTGTCAAGTATTTCCAGAAAATTAAACGTTATCCTTAATTGTAACATTCTTTTTGAAATCTGTTTAAATATCAAAGATTTTACTAAAAAGAAGATGAATAAAAGAAGAACAAAAACAAAAGTTGCTATTGTGTAGTTGAAAACTATTTTGGGCATATTTTAATCTAAACTTTTTTAATTTGACATTTTAGTTTGGGATTTTTGTTTTTTATTATCTTAAAATGATTAACTCTTAAAAAGTTAATACATGTGTTTCCAGTTAAACATTCTTGAATCTTAATAAATGAATGGTGTCTTATTTAGTTATACACCCTTTTTTTCACCTTGAAATTTGCATCTCGCTTGATGACATAAGAGCTCTTGATGACATAAGAGCTCTTAATGACATAAGACACTATCTTCTAAGGATTTTAGCTATTGAATTTGAGTTTTTGAGAAAGATAAGTAGATATAACACAGTAAGTTAGTAGTGGTACTGTTAAGGATAGGCATTTAAAATAGATAGTTAAAGATGATTTCTTAGTTAAATGTAGTATTAAACAATTCATTAATCTGATATTAGAAGAAGTCCATTTTGTATGCTCTGTAAAAAATTTCATTTAAATTCAAAGCAGAAATTAAAACAGCATTTCAGAGATTAAAACAGAGTATTTAAAGCAGAGATTGAAACAGAGCACAAATATCTTGCAATATATTTATGATTATGTATTTAGAAATATAAGTACTTAAATATATAAATATATTTGTAGAATGCATCCTTTTTAATTATAAGTTTGAGCTCTCTAAGTTTATTGACGTTTTTTAAAGTTCCAAAATACCATACTTTCAGTTTTTCCTTTTTGCAAGTTTATTATTAAATCAAAATGAAGAAAATGAAAATTATGATTTTAAAGAATTAAAGATTTAAAGAATTTAAATCTTCATTCGATATTATTATTGTTATAATTACATCGTTGTCATCATTGTCAATCATTGTCAACAATATAAAATGCTTGCAGCACAAACATGCACCAATCTTATTTAACAAGGTATGTGTTTGCAAGCTGCAAATAAATTCAAAAAAGATAAATAAAAATGAGAAGCCTCTTTGACTTTAGTAATCAACTCTGGAGCTTTATGGTGGCGAATTTAATAAAAAAAAAACTAGTGTAGTTATATATAGTTTATAACAAATGTTATAAACAGGGTGGTTAGTGGTCATAGAAATCATGGAAATGTTATGGAATTTCATTTGGTCATGGAATTTCTAAACTTTTATTGGTAGTCATGGAAAAATCATGGTCCTTTTTAAAATTATCTTTATTTTTTCTACTTGTGATATTTTTAAGATATTTGCAAAGAAAACTGCTATTATATATCTTCTAATACCTTTTTAAAAAATAATTGCTATATAAGTTATAGATTATCATTTTATTGCAATCAGTTTGGCCAGGCCTTTTAAAAAAAGATATTGCTGTGTAAGTAATAGATTCTCATTTTATTGCAATCAGTTAGGCCAGGCTTTTTTTATAAGATTAAGTTTAGAAGTTTTAGTTTTAAAATATCAGAAATTTTCAAAAAAATAATGAATAATCAAAGTTCATTTATAAATTATGTTTGAATTTGTATCAATTAATTATAATCTACTCAGTTCAGGTCCCCTTGCTACTGGTAATATTTAATCCAGTATAACCTGCTTCGATTAAGAATTAAGAACACTTAATAAAACTCTGATATAACCCCCCCCCCCACACACACACACACACATACCTATAATTGAATTCTGGGTAAAGATAAAAAGAACATAAACTATAGATGACGATTTTCCTAATTATATCTTCTTAATTATTGTGAATAAAGGTTCTGAACATTTTGACATGATCAAAGTAACATTTCACTTTTAAACTGAAAATGCCTTAGCTATCACAAAAGGCCCAAATGTAAATCATATGATGTACTGATAAGTCATTATAAAGACGACCTTCTCAAGAAAAGTTGGAATTGTTTTTGGATATTGCATGACATTTTAAAGATTATTTGGTAAAGAAAATTTTATTATTAGGCTTGTCAAAATTGTTAAAAAACTTTAAGGGAGAAGTCTTTTAAAGTACATGGTAGTGCACAAGGCAGTATCATGTACTTCAATGACATGTATGTTTTCCCAAAATAATATCCCAAAATCCTTTACAAAAACTAATTTGAATTATTTGAATTTGCATTATTTGAACAAATATTTTGAATTGTTAAGGAAAGTCTTTATCACTTTATCTCACTGCTGTTTATAACTGCAAGGTTAACTGGCCACGGAAATAATATTTAGTTAGCAACTAAATTTTATTTCCGTGGTCAGTTATTGAGTGCAATCGCACCCGCTTCCCGACCAAGCCTGTTCTTAATAATTAAAACTAATAAGTAATTTTAAAAAATTTCATATAAGGATCACTAAACTATAGTACTACAACTTTAGGAGACAAATAACTTGTGCTCGATTACTCGTGCTTTTCTGAATTGAATTGAATAAAATTTTTCAGAATCTGATTTGATAAAATTTTTTAACCTTTTTTTTTTCACTTTTTAAATGCATTGAGAACAGCGTGCTTCTCTTTGTTAGATTTAAAAAAATGTTTTTTAAGTAGCAATAAATACTATTTTTAAGACCAGGAGTAAAATATTTTTAATATGTCAATTTTTATACCAGTTTTAATAATATACCAGTTTTTAGCATCATTTTAATCATTAAAACAAAGATTTATATCTCTTGGACATACACACAAAAAAAATAGGTATTAGTAATTTGTTATTCAGAAACAGAAATGTTCAAAGTAAAGTTATGTTAGCCATTACATTTATTCTAGTTGTGCATATAATTGTTATATATTTGTTCATATAAAAAGATTATGTTTATTGCTTATTTTTGTAATATTTTGAGCATTTTTTGGAAAAATATATTTTCTTTAAAAATGTTAAAATGAATAATTTTCTCTTAATCTGGACAATAGAAATTCTTATTTAGAGATCGGTGCTCTTGTCTTTGCTACTTGTACAAATCTAAATCTAAAAAGATCTTGTGCCATTATTTTTAAAGTTACAATTGTCAAATTTTTGTCAGTTATAATGCGTGCAACTTAGTTTTTTTGGAACTTCCTAGCAATTAGTTTTGGTGTGCATGTTTTTTAATGACTAAGTGGTAACAACACACATATACAAATTGTATGCTAAGCACTATTTTACCCGTAATTAATTTATCATGGAAATTTATGAAAAGTGAAGTTTATGAAAAATCATGAAAAAAAAAGTCTTGGAATATTATTTTCAAATTTGAATTTATTTTTTCAAATTTGAAATTTTATTTTAAAATTTGAGTGGCTGCCTGTATACATAGATTCCTGTATAGATAGATACATTCCCACAAACATCCTGTATACATGAATTCTTACATAGAATATTTGAATGGTTAGAAATAAGTGAGGTCTTTAGATACATGGTCTTTAAGATAGTAAGACTTTAGGAAGGTTTAAGTATGATGTTGAAAGTTTTAAGTATATTTAAGTATATTTAAACAAAAAAAAAACTGAAACTAATTTTTTACTATTACTTATTCATTTATATTTTAGTGCTATACAACTCAAGGTTTGGAGCTAACTCGGTTAACAATAGTTGACTTTCAACTTCAACCAATGATTGACTTGTACGTTAAACCAACCAATCCTATTGTTGATTATAATACAAGGTTTGTAATTAAGATTTAATTTTATTATAGATATAAGAATAGTATATAAATACAATATAAAAAAACTTACATGTGTTTATGTTATGTTTTCTGATAATTTCAAAATTGTTTTAAATTTATATTTTATTTATTTTTATGTTTTCTTAACTTAAGCAATAATATAACATGTATACACAATAATATGATTGTAATCTAAGTGGAAGATCAGCTTAGTAGATCAGGGTAGAAGTTTTTGATTGGGGTAGAAGTATAAATCTTATTTGTTTTAATTTTCTTCAAGTTTTTTATTTAAAGTTGTTAAAAACAAATGTATAGTCAAGTTGTTAAAAACAAATGTATAATCAAGTTGTTAGAAACGAATGTATGGTCAGGGTAGAAGTGTTTGATCGGGGTAGAAGTATAAATCTTATTTGTTTTAATTTTCTTCAAGTTTTTTATTTAAAGTTGTTAAAAACAAATGTATAGTCAAGTTGTTAAAAACAAATGTATAATCAAGTTGTTAGAAACGAATGTATGGTCAGGGTAGAAGTGTTTGATCGGGGTAGAAGTATAAATCTTATTTGTTTTAATTTTCTTCAAGTTTTTTATTTAAAGTTGTTAAAAACAAATGTATAGTCAAGTTGTTAAAAACAAATATATAATCAATTTGTTAGAAACGAATGTATGGTCAGGGTAGAAGTGTTTGATCGGGGTAGAAGTATAAATCTTATTTGTTTTAATTTTCTTCAAGTTTTTTATTTAAAGTTGTTAAAAACAAATGTATAGTCAAGTTGTTAAAAACAAATGTATAATCAATTTGTTAGAAACAAATGTATGGTCAAGTTGTTAGAAACAAATGTATGGTCAAGTTGTTAGAAACAAATGTATAGTCAAGTTAAAAACAAATTTATGGTCAAGTTGTTCAAAATTTTTAAAAGTTTTTAAGTTTTGTTTTATTATAAATGATCATAAGTTTAATATATCGTCAGCCAAGAACTAAGAGGCCGTATATCCACATTATGTGTTTTTCCTGTTTATTATCAATAAATATTCAACAATCAATTGGGTGTGTGTCCATGGTTAAGATTGGGTGTGTCCAATAAATCTAGTCTCAAGAATAATACAACTTTTAAAAATATTAAAAAAAAACATTCTGACAGAAAGTCTTTACAAATTTAACTTTAAAACTTAATATTCTCCGAAACCCAAAAATCGGACATATGACTTAGTTCTTGGCTAATGATATATTATATACAATATTATGTTTTATATGTTGTATGTAAAATTATATGTTTTATATACTATATATAAAAATATATGTTTAATGTTTCAATTATAATTAAGTATATTCATTTTTATATTATATGTATACAAATATAAATATTTGTAAAACTGTTACTGAAAAAAATTTCTTAAATAATAAATTTTATTAATTATTAAGTAATAAATTAAACAGTAGGTTTGGTTCTAAATATTCTATGTAAAAAAAATTTATATTATTTTATTAGTACCTACATGTACATAGTTAAATTTATTTTAGTTTTACATCCTTCAAACAATTTTTTTTTAAAGATTTTCTGGAGTAACTAAAGAACATCTACAAAATATAACTACAACTTTGGAAGACATACAAGATATCTTACTAGATATTTTACATAAAGATACAATTCTTTTAGGTCACAGTCTTGAAAGTGATTTATTTGCACTTAAGGTACATTTTATTAAAATACTTGTTTCATTCATTTGTGTATTACATGATAATAATGTAATATTTAAAATAAAAAAAATAATGTGTAAGTTATAATTAGGTAAATAATTATAAAAAAATATTTAGAAGTGTAATATAATAATAGTGTAGTAATAATAATAGTGTAAGTTATAATTAAGTAAAATAATGGTAAATAAATTATAATTTTATAATATAAATATTTATTACTTTCATTTCTTTAGTCAAAAAACAAGCAATAGTTTAGTTTATAAACATTTTATTACCATTGTAACATCTTTTAACATTACTATAGTAATATTTTGCCTTAAAGAAAAAAAGGTAATTTTTGGGAGCAAAGCAAACAAGATAAAAAATGAAATGTTTTTCTTTCTCTAGACAACAGATATCTATTTACTACTGCTAGAAACCATTGTGAAAAGGTTTTGTCTAACACCAAAGTCCCTTGTTCTCAGGTCACAAAATCTTGTATTTTATCTTAAAAAATAGGCTCTAGAGACTTCTGAAGAATCTTTAACAGTGTCTATAACAAGGGCAAATCTGTTATTCATCCTCTTTTGCATGGTTTAGATTTTGTCACCTCGTCTAAGGACAAAGCTGAGTTGTTTGCAAAAAAACTTTTTATCAATCTCATTTCTTGATTCCACTAATCACATCCTACCTGATATACCCGCTTCTTTATCTAAAGTGATTTCCTGCTTAGACTCTTCTACATATATACTCTTTCTGCTTGTGGTCCGTACAACATACCTGTTATAGTTTTGCAGAAGTGTTTTCTAAGGCTGTCGTCTTTACATTCAAAACTATATAACAACTGCTAATCAGAGTCTAGTTTTCCAACCTGCTAGAAAGCAGCATCTGTTACCCCTATTTTCAAAAATTCTGGAGAGCGATCTGACTCATCTGTCCCATTAGTTCCCATTCTTCCTATCATAATCTAAGTTTTTGAGTCTTTAATTAATCTTAATCTCTTATCTTGAACCTAATAACTTACTTTCTGATCATCAATATGGATTTCAACCTTTTCGAAACTCTTCATTTCCTGTAACATAGTGAGTTTCTCAAGGTTTAATCCTTGTCTCTATACTTTTTTAATTTACATTAACGATCTCCTAGAAATTGTCACATTTAAGTTGGCATTGTTCGCTGATAATACTACCATTTATTTTTGTCTTGATAAAAAGTCTACACTCTCTGATTGCTTGGAGGAGGTGCATTTGCACTTGAAAAAAATCTCGCTTCTGCTACAGCTACATTTGGCTCTTGGTGGCTGATGAACTTTTGAAATTGTTATTTCAACAATCTAAATCTTCCTATATTTATAAACAGTAATATACTTGATGAGTCATCTACTTTATTATTTTATTTTTTATTGTTTTATGAGTCATCTACTTTATTATTATTTTTTTTTTTTTTGATGAGTCATCTACTTTATTATTTTATTTTTTTAGGATTGACTTTTACTTCTGATCTTTTTTGGAAACTAAAAGTTGTCAAATCCATTCAAAATTAACGTCTGCTAAGGTTGCATCTCTTCATAGTGCTCGCCACTTTCTTACTTTAAATTTTATTCTTTATCTCTATAAATCTAAAATCAGTTCTTGTATGGAATACTGTTGTCATATCTGGAGTAGATCTTCGAATGATGACCTTTCTTTTTTAGACAAGATGTAAAATTCCTCAATTATTTTAATGGTTTAAAATTATCAATTTAATCTCATTCAGTGCAATGAAAAAATTATGCCGAGAAAAATAATAAAATAATAAACTTCTAAAAAGTAACAAACTTCTAAAAAGTAACAAACTTCTAAAAAGTAACAAACTTCTAAAAAGTAACAAACTTCTAAAAAGTAACAAACTTCTAAAAAGTAACAAACTTCTAAAAAGTAACAAACTTCTAAAAAGTAACAAACTTCTAAAAAGTAACAAACTTCTAAAAACTTTAAAAAAATAAAATAATAATCTTCTGAAAAAATATTAAACTTTTAAAAAATATTAAACTTCTAAAAAATAAAATAAAAGTAAACTTCTAAAAAACTTTTATTTTTTTAAAGGATTTACTTATGTAAGAGCTGCATAATTCTCTAGAACCTTATATTGATCATTACTATTTTTTTTTTTTTTTTTTTTTTTTTTTTTTTTTTTTTTGTAATTCACCTCCCCAAGGCCCAGAAGGCCACTACAGATGAGGAGGCTACTTGTGGTTATAACCCTCTCAACTCTATAGCTCCAAAACATGAACCTTGACGAACAAGGCTGCTGCCCTGAGAAACAAGTTGAGTACTACCAGGGTGGTGGTGGAAATCAAACTTGAACCACTACACCACTACCACAAAACATAAATATAGTTAATGATTCAATTTATCATAACAATGAACATTAATGTATCATATATATTGTACTTGGTTAAAATAAGTAAAATCAATTAAACATGTTGTCCATTGCAAAGTTAACATATGCTGTGGCTGCTTCTTTTTATCGTGCTCACTATTTTCTTACTACTAATACAATCTACATCTATTAATTTTTTATTTGCCCCTGTATGGAATACTGCTGTCATATTTGGGCTGATTCTTCTAATTATATCATCTCTCTTTTACACAAGATCCACTAAGTGAATCACCAGTCACTGGTGTGACTGGACATCCAGCTTAGTTAAATCCTTATGTTGTAACTGTTCTTTTATGTTGAAAAATTTTTATTTTACTAGTTTTTTTCCTTGAAAGTCGGTTCTTCTTGAGGTTTTCTGTCAATCTTGCTGTAAAGCTCTTTCTATTGTTTTCTGTTAACTTCTAATATAGTTAGTGGTTGTTTGCAGGCTTATTTGTGAGTGAGCTAGTTTTTATTAAAAAGTGGTGTTTTCTTTAATACAGTTGTGTTTATAAAATGGTTTTTTTTGTTTATAAAAAAAAAAAATTTTTAAATAATTTTGTTGTCTTTAAAACAAATCGTGTTTTCTTAAAAACAAGTTGTGTTGTCTTATGTTGTCTACTAATTACAATATTTATATTTTATTCATATAAAAATTGGTAAAAAAAAATAAATCATCCAAATTATATTTAGATGATACATAAAAAAGTTGTTGATACTTCTATTGTTTTCCCTCATCGTCTTGGACACCCTTTCAAGAGAGCTTTGCGAAACCTAATGGCTGATCATCTTCAAAAAATTATTCAAAATGGAGGTAGATTTGTTTTAAATTTTGTTTGTTAACAACATCTGTTTTAAGAGATGCAGTTTACAAAAATGACTATAGTATTCATACATGCATAAACTGTTTATAATATATGTTATTATTAAAAGCAAGTAAGCTGTAATAATACAGTTCGCTGCTTTATTTGTCTGCAGGATTGAGTGAAATGCTCATGGGGGTTGTCGTAAATTAAGTTTCGAATTTCAGGAAACTGAACTGTTGTAGAAATTATGTCACTAATAGCTAGAAACTTACTGACTTTTTTCATCGCTCTATCCGTTTTCAAATCATTTGTTTATTTATGATTATAAAGTTATATCTTGTAATACCATTGTATATGTCTTTTTCTTTTTTGTTATAAATATTCTGTTTTTTTTTTAGAAGCTGGTCATGATTCAAGTGAAGATGCACGTGCATGTATGGAGCTGATGAAGTATAAATTTAAAGAAGACATGAAGAAAAAAAATCGCTCAGCTATTTCTTTACCATCATTTTATTCATCAAAAAGCATATAAAGAATTTTTATGTGACATTGAAAGCTTTTATTTGTTATAGTCTTCATGCCCAACTTCATGTGACATTGAAAACTGACATGTGGCTGTATATTTTCACTCAAATGTTGTTGTTTATTACTGCTAAATAAGAAAAAAAATGGTATTTATATTTTTATATTGTAAATATATAAACTTCAAAAATACTTTTTTGTATTTTTTACATTTTTAGCTAAATCCATATTTATGCGCGTCACATGCGTAGCCTTTCAATAGATTTCAAAAATTTCAATAAACACAAAAGTTTTATGGAGGTTATTTAATAAAGTTTTGATATTCCTAAATAACAAAATAATATATAATCAACTAATTTTTTAAAACCAAGGAGTTAGACTAGCTAAAGGGAAAGTAATCGTTTCTTAAATACCTCGATAAAATACGGGCTAAAAATTCTTCATAAGAACACAAGCTGAAAACCATCCCTTGTAGATTAAACAACTTTGTTACCAAATTTAAATAGCATTTGTTTGATTTTTAAATTTAAGTATATTTAAATTTATAAAACTTTATATTTATAAAACTTTAACATTAGTCTTGAGGTTTTTAAAGGTGACAGTTTTTTTTTTTTCAATTAAGCTGTAAAAATTTATAATTTTTTTAAATTTAATTTCTTTGCTCAAAATCTAACTATTTCTTTTAGGCTGAAGGTATTTATACTAATATACTTTATTTAAGGAACTTGATAACTTTAAGTGTAGATGCGGTAGTGGAGTAGTGGTAGAGCGCTCGCCTGGTTAGTCCCGCTTGGACATATTTCTTCCATACAAAAACAAACTGAAATTCATCCCGCCTGTCCGAGTACCTCGGTTAGGCGGGATGGTTTTTCTCCTTGTTTTTACTCCGTTCTCACTCCAGCTATATAACTCTTTGTTAAAACATGCTCTTTGTTTATTGGTATCTAAATAAAAAAGGTATTCCCACATTATAACGGCTTTTTTAGTATATTCTAGCATGTTTTGACCAGACCTTGTACGTAATTATTTCTCGTAATATTTATAAAAGATGAGCAAGATAGTTACATATTTTTTTCTTTACAAAAAAGTCCGTTGAAATTATTTAAAACTGATGCTTAATATCCAAAATTAATATGCTTAATATCCAAAAAATATTGCATAAAAGTCTTAGTATATATATAAACTTTTGAAAGTTTTTTGATTAATAGAAGGTAAAAAGGAGATATACCAAAAAGTATATAAATTAAGTATATTACCAAATCATCAATTATAAAAATTAATTCTTTAAGTTTTCATTTAAATGAGTTGCATTGTTCAATAACTTTCGAAAAATTTTTTACAACTATTTTGCTCCATAAAAATGGTTCGCAAAAAGCGATGCAAAACTTACTATAATTTTTTTGAAAATATGGCTGCCTAATAAAATTATCATTGTGTAGAATGTATTTATTTTTATCTTTTGACAAATGCAAATTATGAAAAGAAACCGTGAAAAAATTGATATTACATAAAACATAGTACATTGTAAATATTCTATTTGATATATATTTTGTGCATTCGATTTTCTTAATTGAGATTTATTATGGGTAAAACGTTTATCAAAATTTGCACTTGCATAGTTAATACAGCTGTGAATAATTAGAGAATTTAATTGAGTTAGAACTTTCTCACTCAAAAAGCTTCTTACCTTATATAAAATTCCGATACTTTTTGAAGTTTTGTTGCATAAATTCATCAATAAATTCATCAATACAAACACCTAAAAATTTTGTAACATTTACTCTGTTTATTTCGACAAAACTAATGAAAAAGGATGGCATTTTTTTAGAAATTAATTTTTTTTTAGAAGGTGGATGAAAGAAAATCCAATTAGTTTTTTAATGTTAAGCGATAATTAGTTTGATTTAAACCAACAAGAAATCTTGTTTAATTTTAGGTTCATAAGTTGAAACAGTGTAAGGATGTTATTACGAAATAAAAATAGGTTTGTATCATCGGCAAACATTATTGTCTTTAATCTGGATACTTTATGAAGATCGTTAGTATATACAGTATTGGACAAAACATTTGCAACCAACATCGAACAATGTTAAAAAGTGTTCCTAATTTTACATGTCTTAAAAACGAAACGAACTGTACTACCACACTAAACAGTTCAGGAGTCTAGAGCCATAGCATGCCATGACATAAGCAATCAGCTGACAGGTGACAGCACACAGGCAGAATTTCGTTGTTTCAAGTTCCATTTTGCAGCGGACAAAACAAGTGCAACTTTTTTGGTTTGTTTCATTTTCTTAAGTCTGGTCCTTACTCAATGGTATTACAAGATATAACTTAATAATCACTTACTACTTATACCTCAAAGCGTTACCGATTACTTTGAAAATTGTCACTATTTTTAAAATAACGGTTACATGAGTGTTCTACTATTTAATACCAATTTTTTTTGTTATAATTATTTTATTGGTACATGTACAGTTTTCATTTTATAGACCAAAATAGTGATTTGCTACTTAAAGCGTGATTTAAATAGTCTTATGCCAATAGCGTCGACACGGCCTTCAAAGTGTTGGGGGTCAACCCCTCAATTTCTAAAATAAAATCCATAATCTTTAAAATAATTGCCTATATTTCTAAAACAAAAAGTCTTTGCAAAAAAAAAGTAAGAAGGACATGATCCCCTAGCCTCCCTGGCGTTGACGCCCATGTATGCTTCGCTTGAATATAACAACATTTCCTAAAGGTATAAACTGCTGCCAAAAAAAAAAGCTAAAAAAAGTGCAAAACCTGCTTAAAGGACTACCAGTTAGTAAAACAAACAAAAAAGTAGATTTTCTAAAATATTTTGTATTGACCTCCTTAAATACATTTACTTTTAAAATGAAGTGAAAACTATTTAATCCCTATTTTTTAATAGGGATTAAATAGTTGAATGAGTTTGAAGACCACAAATTATACTTGCAACTTTCATATCACATGCCAAAATTAGTTTAACTCTATTTGCATTAATCAGTGGCCAGATTTATTCAATATTGGAGTGTGTCTCCGGCAAATCTTTTGAAACTCCAACAGTAGTTTGTCTCTTGACTCCAGTGTCTTTACCAGTCCTTTGAGTGAGAGGTTATTGTTGGTGCGGTGAGCTGGTTTCATCCCTTAACGCAGTATAAACTATGTTTAGGCAAAACTTGAGAAAACCTTTGCCACCATCAAGTCCGAGCTTAACAAAATAGCCACCAGAAATTTTGTGGGACTGAATAACATGGTTCACAAGACTTGATAAATCATTGCAGTGAGCAACAACATGAACTGTACAAGAAACTGCTGATGTTTTGTTTACAGTTCTAACAAGTTTCTTTGATCCGTTGTTTGACCGTATTTAATTGCACGATTGAAAGGGCTACATTGGTCATTTTTGGAGCACTTGATGGTGTCTGCGCACTACATTGACCTAAAACCAAAACATACATATTTTATAGTTACAATAAACTTTGTTTAGTAAGTTTGTATAAAACTTTCAAATTATTCGTTTTTAAAGAAATTAGAAACTTGTCAAAAGAATTCTTGAAATCTATCTAGTGTTATTCCTTAATAGTCAAGACTTTATTTCAATATATATGTTAAAATTATTTAAGTATAAATGTTTACCAGGGGTAATTGTAAATGGAGGCTCGCCGGATGCTTTAGCCAGTATAATAGTTCCTTTTGGAGATAATGCTTTATTGGAAATAACTTGAGATGTGATTTGTTCGGATGACTTGGCATCTTTTGCTGCTAAAGATTGAATGTTTTCCCTTAACATTATTTGAGAGCATTGGTGGGGCAATCCTTTTTCTAAAAAGGCTGAGGCATTTGCTGCAACGCACCTTTGAACGACCAATTCATCATATTAGGCAACAACACATCGTGCCTCTTGTTTCAGGTCTCACTTTATTGACTTAAAATCAAACAAAGGAGGGAGTGCAACTTCTTTCCCCTCTTGTTTGCTGCGCAAAGTAATTCTACACGAATCGCAGAATCCTTTTGGTACCCGAATATCACTGATATTTATCTTGGTTTTGTACAGTTGGCATATTCGATTTGCTTGAAAAATAGTAAGCTTTCTGAAATTTTTTTTCAGACAGAGCAAGCACACAAACTTTAGATTTTATCATTATTCTTTGCTTGATTTGACATCGTGGCAATTCACTAAATTTGACTTCACTAAATCAAACTCTGCTTTTTACAAAATTTGACCTAAATTTGAATTTGATAACAATCTACTTAACATAGTAACACATATTATTAATTAAAAACTATTAAAATAAAGGAAATATTTACTTGATTTAATTGAGGTAATATTAAATTACAAGGAAATAATTCTTAAATAGTTTTTTCCTTACCAGGAAACAATTGTTTAAACTATTTACTTGTAAGAAAATTACATTATTGATAGTTGTCACACTTATTAAACTAATAATACTTGTCACACGGTTTGTTTTATTTCAAAACAACCCTTCAACCTAATTAGTTATTCAGTTAGAGTAATTTTCCTCCGACTGGCTCTCCAAACTTTGTCAGATATCTTAGTTAATTTATCTATATCTTTTAAGTCAATTATCTTTGTCAATATAAAAAATATTTGGTTTTTTCACAGTTGTTCTGTTTTCAGATAAATATATATTTTTATTTTCTATGTAGGTATCCCTAGAAATACTTATTAACCATTTTTTCAGAATTTTTTTGCATTCTGGCAGTAGTTTATACCTTAGGAAATGTTGGTATATTCACGCTATGCATACATGGCCATCAAGAGAGCCATGGCCTGCCCACTTTTTTTTTTTTGCGAGGACCTTTTGTTTTAGAAATATAGGCAATTTTTTTAGAAATTATGGATTTTATTTTTAAAATTGAGGGGTTGACCCCTCCACTTTGAAGGCCGTGTCAACGCCATTGGCAGAAGCCAATTCAAACCACGCTTTAAGTAGCAAATCACTATTTTGGTCTGTAAAATGAAAACCGTTATTTTAAAAATAGTGACCGAATTTCAAAGTAATCGGTAACGCTTTGAGGTATAAGTAGCAAAAAACTGACAAAACTTCAGCTAAAACCGCAATAAACCCTACACCAGTCATCCAATTAAGCTGAAATTTTGTCCAGAGTTTGGTGCGACTATTGGCTACATTTGCACTAATTTTTATCAAATTATATTGAGT